AGCAACAGAAAACAAAGCCAGAACACAGAAAATTGAACTTTTCGGAAGTCTGATAACAACAAATTCTTCAGCCTGATCGGTAAGAGGGGCGAAACCAGCAGCTGGCGGAGCGGGGTTGCACAGGAAAACTCGGTCAGACAGACTCAGGCACGTGGAACCCAGGCGCAGGGTTGGACCTAGTGAGCGACCCAGCAAACGACCGTGGGGAAACAGCGAGGGAGCAGGGCTGCGGGTTGACTGTGGTCGTGCATTCGTGCACAGATAGACAAGTGAGGGAGTGGGCGATTAGGCAGGACCCAGCAGGCCCCAGCGGCAAGTGGCAGCAGAGGGCGCTGCCATTTCCCTGCTCTGACCCCGCCTCCACATACAGCATCACAACCCAGCGACCTGGGAGTCCAAGGCTCCGCTCCTCATACTTAACCGGCACGAACAGACCAAAAATGGCTCAAGAAGATCTCAAAGCCCCGGAGCCTATAAATCTAAGCGATGAAGAAATAGCAAAACTCTCAGACGCACAGTTTAAAACACTGGTGATCAGGATGCTCGCAGAACTGTTTGATTATAGCCACGAATTAGAGAAACATATGAAGGCAAAACTAATTGAAATTAATGGAATTGCACAGGAAACCAATAGCGATGAAAAGGAAACTGGGACTCAAATTACTGGAGTGGACCAGAAGAAAGCAAATAATGGCCAAACAGAAAAGAGTCAAGAAGCAAGAATTCAAATAAATGAGAAGAGTCTTAGGAACCTCCAGGACATCTTTAAACGCTCCAAAATTCGAATTATAGGGGTACCAGAAGGGGGAAAGGAACAGCCACAAGTGGAAAACTTTTTTGAACAAGTAATAAAGGAGAATTTCCTCAATCTGGCAAAGGAACTTGACTTCCAGAAAATCCAGGAAGCTCAGAGAGTCCCAAAGAAGTTGGATCCAAGAAGGAACACACCAAGGCACATCATCATTACATTAGCCAAGATTAAAATGAAGGAGAGAATCCTAGAAGCAGCAAGAGCTAAGGAGACAGTCACCTACAAAGGAGTCCCCATCAGACTGTCAGCGGATTTCTCAAGAGAGCTTACAGGCAAGAAGGGGCTGTAAAGAAGTATTCCAAGTCATGAAATCCAAAGACCTACATCCAAGATTGTTCTATCCAGCAAAACTTTCATTTAGAATGGAAGGACAGATAAAGTGCTTCTCAGATAAGATCAAATTCAAGGAGTTCATCATTGCTAAGCCCTTATTATATGAAATGTTAAAGGGACTTACCTAAGAAAAAGAAGTTTAAGAAACATGAACAGTGAAAGGACAACAAACTCACAGTTATTAACAACCACACCTAAAATAAAAGCAAACTAAAAGGATAGCTACATCAGGAGTGGAAACATAGAAATGAAGATCTCAAGGAGGGTTAGCAACAGGGGAGTGGGAGGAGGAGAAGGGGGGAGAAAGTACAGAAAATAAGTAGCATAGACAGTAGATAGAAAATAGATGGGGGGGCAAGAATAGTATGGGAAATATAGAATCTAAAGAACTTGAGACACATGGTCATAAACTAAAGGAGGGTAATGGTGGGGAAGGGGGGTAGGGTGGAGGGGAATGCAGGGGGAAATAGAACAACTGTAATGGCATAATCAATAAAAATAAATAAAATTTTAAAAAGAATATTTAATTTTACAAACAATGTTTAAATTCCCAAAAGATTGGTTTCAACTTCTACTTGGTATAAGAGCTTAATTAATTATCAAACAAATAGTTGTGAATGTTTTGCCACATATAAAAACCTTTCTGGTATTAAAATAATTATATCAATATTATCCAATTCATAATGATTATTACTGGTAAAAAAAATCAGTACAATATAAAACTGAATGGCTACTCCATCCAGTAAAATTCTTAAACAACATTGAAAACTGCAAAAAGTCCTCTGAATCAAATTGTACTTAATAGAAATAATGAGCACCCATAAAACTATAGCGATAGATGTAAAAATATCAGTAAAAATTGTTGTGGATCAAATTTGGATGATGGATTAAACCCTCATTGTATATTTTTCCCAGAAAAAATACTGATCCACATTTAAAAAATGATTTCAGAAAAATTAAAAATGGGAAAAATTACAAATAGCTAAATCTCATTGTAGAAAAAATTGATCAGAGAATTGAGTATAAATGAAACTTCATAAATGTTGGGACAATTCTGATTAAAATATGCATGTTCATAAAGTTGAAGCAAAATGACCTTGCAGATTAAAGTGACCATCAAAAACTTTCGGAGATGATGCATATTAAGCATTTAGCAGTGATAATATATGTATGTAGCATGTAGTATGTACTCAATAAATGCCAAAGTGGATTTAAAAAATTTTAAATCATGATAAAATACAAATAACATAACATTTACCATTTTCACTATAAAAAATTTTATTTTATAGGAGAATGTTCTGCGTGGCACGGGCCCAGTTCCCACTCAGAGATACACAGGACCCATGCCCATGGATCGGTTTTCCTGTGGGGAATCAGGCCTGCATTGTACCTAGGCTGGGATGAGGCTTGCTTTTGGTAAAACTCCCTCACCCTGGATTGAGGCAGAATATATTTACTGCATATCTTTAAAGTAATTTCCTAAAATCTATGCTAAACCTCCCAAGGATGAGTGTAACCAGTTCAACCACTTTTCCCTTTGCATTTGCAAATATCCTTCTTCTGTGATGTGATTAGCAGCACCCTCTCCTTTGTTTTCTGTAAAAGGTAAACGCCTAAAGTGAATCTGTGCATAGTAAATAAAGACCATCATGGAATGTGCCCAGAAAAGCAATAAAAGCTTGTCAAGGCAAGGGCCGAAGCTTTTCTCCTCTTGAGAGAGAAGCTGCACCGACCCTTTTCCTCCACAGGACTTGGTAGACGGTGTGAATTTGTTGTGTCTCATCCATAATGCCTTGGACCCCACAAGCTGGGGTGTGAGTCATTATTTATCTACTCTTAGAGAGAGGGAGAGGGAGGGAGTAAGAGAGGGTGCAAAACATCAATTGGGTGCCTCTCACACACGTCCCAACTACAGACAGGGCCTGTGGTGACCCAGGCAAATGCCCACCAGAACCGGACTTAGCTTTGCACAACGATGCTTAACCAGCTGAGCTGTGCCGGTCAGGACCATTTTCACCATTTTGAAGTGTACAGTTCAGTGACAGTAACTACATTCACAGTGTTGTGCAATTATCACCACTGTCTCCAGAACTTTTTCTTCCCATGAGGAAGCTCTGTGCCCATTAAACAATAACTCCCCATGCCTCCCTCTCTCCAGCCCCTGGCCACTACTATTTTACTTTCTCTGCATTTTTAAGTACTTGAAAGGGCAGCATGGCTGAAGGATAGGAAACAAGGAAATACGGTAACCCAAGTGAGCTCACATCTTAAATTTCCCAGAATAATCTTGATTTCAAACATTTTATCCTATATATCGTAAATTTGCTCTTACTTGGCAGACTATGTAAGTTTCTGTCACCTTGGGCTTAATATAATAATGTTATCTTGGTATGCCTCCGACTTTTTTCCTTGGCCGTACTCGGGTATTCCTCAGCAATGATTTGGAGGCTCACAGAACGTACAAAGTAACAGCTGGCCCACAGATATCTTTCTTTGGCCTACATAGTATTTTGAAATTGTTTGATTTGTATTTTTTAAGTTAAAATTCAGAATTTTTTTTACACAAAAATCCAAATTTATGACATCTGCTAAAACACAGAATGATCTGGCAATACTGGCTGCATATTCTCTGTGTCAATTGCTATTTACTATTATGCTTGTGTGATTGTTCTCCTTACTGTAGAGAAAAAAAAAAGTGTAATAAATTTTCCCTCTGTTATCCAAACCCCTACATTTACAGTTTTCCTGCCTAAACCCAGTATTCATTTGAGTTTGTCTAGGATGTTCAAGAAGGTATAGTAACTACACTGGTTAATGGAATCAGACTTTCTGGGTTGAATGCAAACTCCCAAAATTTAGCCTCTCTGTGACTCAGTTTTCTCATCTGCAAAATAGGGACAATAACAGTACCTTAACAACTTCACAGGATTTAGTTAATAAATGTTAATGCTTAACATTAACGTGCTGTTTTATTAAAACAGCACCTGCTGTTTTAATAAAAGAAAAGAAAATGACCCAGAAGCTCAGGAAACGTGTCCACCTTCTTTACCATTGACTCCCAGTAGCCAACATGGCGTTTAGAACAAAAGAGAAAACAGTAAAGATTTGTAGTAAGTAAATGGGAGGGGGGGGGTCTAAATAATCTAATAGTGTTTAGAGCAAAGAACCGATAGACGCGCTCCACTCTCTGTAGAAGGAACACACCACGTTATGAGTAGCTAAAGCAACCGAAGATGCGGAGCTAGATTTGACTGGGGTTAAGATAAACGGGGAGAGCGTAATCCTCAGATTTTTAGGAAGGCCATCATGGGGAAAAGTGCAGATTTCTTACAGCTTCACTGGGGAGAATCAGGACCAAGGGGTGATAGTACTAAAGCCGAACTTGGCTTTTTATGTTAAAGGTTAAGCAATTACGCGAGACCTGCGGCGAATCTAGTACTGCAAACCGACTCAATGCGCGTATCCCTGGCGACTGCGGGGCGGAGCTTCAGAAGCGGGAATTCTCTGGCGTTTTAGATCAAAGTGTCGTATGATTAGTGAAAATTTGGCGGGAACAGAGAAACGCCGAAGGAAGTGACGTAAAAGGCCGCTCATTGTCGGCGGTGGGATTCTGTGGTCCTGAGATGAGGAAGTATTATTGGATTGGTTATTTAATCGAGACAAAAACAGCATCTCCAAGTGCCTTGTTTCCGCGTGCGCAGTGTGTTTTGCCCTTAGAAAGATGGCCGCGGAGGCTTCCGGCTCTACTGGGGGTAGCGCGAGAGTCTTCAAGTGCCTGGCCGGCAAAGACCGGAAAAGGCGTAGGACTCGCGAGCATTGATTGGGTGAAGCCAGAAGCGGTCTGGACACTGATTGGCTCCGCCGTCCGCGGGAAGGAGTTTGTGGCGCCAGCGAAAAGTACACAGATCTCTGCGACAGCAACAAGGTTCTTAAGTGCTGAGCGAACACTACCGCCTCGAACTCCCAGCGCGTCTTTCCTGAGAGCATCGTGACCATGATGTGGAATAGTAATGACAAGTGGGGCGGAGGGTGACGTTCGCTGGAATTGAGCGAAGAGGGAGGGGATCGGAGAGGCGTGCAGCGGCGGGACTGGGGAGCGGCGGGAGTGGAAATGGAGCGTTTGGGGGCGGGGGGCAGGTGGCGGAGAAGATGAGGTAGATCCTAGGAGTGTCTCTGGGTGGGGGCAGTGACGACGGAGGACGCCTGTGGAATTTTCGGAAGCTTGGGAAGCCGCTCTGATACTAATACGGTTGTTATTTAAAACCAGGTGGATATGAAAGCTATGGCAGCTCCACGTTCGGGGGAGCCGGTGGCTACACCCAGTCTCCGGGCGGCTTTGGATCGCCGACACCTTCTCAGGCTGAAAGGAAATCAGTAGGTTGAAAGAGTGTTTCGTTTTTATTTTATCTGTCTTGAACCTCGAAATTCATCCATGTGAGAAAATTTATGTGGTGGAGAAAGGGTGTAAATAGGCACTGATTCGGTAAAGACCAATTACAATCTTACTAAATCTTACAACATTAAGTGCTGTAAGTCTGAAGAGAGGAACCTCCTCTAACTTTGCATCCGCTGTTTCTTTGGCTTTATTTTGAAATTTACGAATTTTCTCGTCTTGTGGGAAAACTGAACGTGAATTAATAGCCCGTTTTACGTTCTTAATGTATTCAAAGTCGTTTTAAAATTAAACAGGTGATACGATATAATGAGTTGGGAAGAACAGGGTCTTTCAAGTCAAGCAGATCTGTTCTCTAAACGCCACTTGCAGAGCGTAGTATCATTGAACACGTTTCTCTTCCTTCATGGGAGTCTTTTGCACCTACTAAATGGGATTGATAATACATGCCTTACAAGGTGGTTGTGAGACTTAATATATTATGAAGTATGTGAAGTGCCTGCACCATAATCACTTTCAATAAATGGCCCTGGATATTACTTAAATGAACCTGAGCATTGGAGCCAGAATACAGTGTGTCCAGAATATACTTTTAACTGGCAGTGTGAGTCCAGTGAAGCGACTTGAACCTGTAGTTTTAGTGGCCCTTGGTTTTACTTCGTCTGATAATGGCACTAGTACTACTCATACCGCAGGGAATTAATAAATAAGCTAAAGTGTAAGAAAGTGCTGTGAAAACAGCTGTTCAGGTGCTGGTTGTTTACTCTTTCAGAAGAGAGATTGCACTTAACTGCTGTGGATTTCATCCTTTAAATACCCAGTTAATTTGGCTTCTTTAGATGTCATTCAGATGTGGTATTAAGATTCAGTATTAGCAGGTCTGAATTTGTGCACAGGTTAATAAGCTTTTACACCTAAACAGTTAATTCAGGGCTGGGTGTTGGTGGGAAAGAATTCATTGGTAATTCTCATGCATCTGGACAGTGCTTTATATTTTTTGTGTGAGATTTCATATAATCCTGTAAGGTATTTATTGCTTAACTGCACTGTGTAGCAGAGGCTTAGGGAGATGAAGAGGCTCCCTAAGCTTATGCAGTAAATAAATGGAAGCAGACTGAGCACACCTGATGCTGAGCAAATTCAAATTTCGCTAAGCAGTTTTTTTTTCTCTGTTGTAGTTTTCTTTTCCCAGGAAGACTAGAGGGACTCCAGTTTTTTAATTCTGTCGTCTTTGAGGCTATGAAAGTGAAAACAAGTTAGATAGTTGGTTTTCGTCTTTTTTCCCTAAGTTGAGCTATTTTTCTTCCTTCTAGTTGTTAGAATTTTATCTTTGGATCTAGAGGTTGGGTTCTGTATTAAGACAACTTTTCAGAGAATAATGATAGTTATAATCTGGATGCTCAAATCTCTCTTTTTATGTTTAAAAGCTAGTGCCTTTTTCACAGTAAATTACATCAGTGCCCTATTTAAATGTTTTCTGTTGACTATAAACTTATATTTGATTGACCCATGTGAAATTTTCAATGTTTTACCTATAAAAATGATGATTTCGTACAGTACTTCATTTCCGAGTAGCTTGTGGCTGATAGTCAGCCAGAAAATAATTTTTTTCAGAATCAAACACACTTGTGCTATCATACTCTGTAAATCTCTTTGGAATGAACTGGGAATGCTTTGCAGTTGGTTCCTGGAACATAATAGATGCTTGTTAAAAAACAAGCTATAACTGATTCACGATGAATTTGAAGGTATTTCTAACATCTAGTAATTAACCATACATAACTTTTTTACCTGCAAAGTAATCACATTTGTTGAAAACCTATTAGAGATTGGTATTATCACTTTTATATACATTGTATGTTTCATTTACAACTTGAAAAGTAAATATCTTAATTTTATAGAAGAGTTGGTGGAATATCCAGGGCCATGGAGCTGGGGTTTGAACACAGGTCAATAGCACCATCTGGCTCTGAAGCCCATGTTCTTGTTTCTGTTACCATGATGGTTCTTAGTTTTCTTATACTGCAGATGCAATAAAAATGTAAGTTGTGTGGATGAAAACAAAATACACATTGTGAGAGCCAAATCTGGGACATCAGCAAATTTTAAATCAGTGCACACTAACACACTATATAACTTCACCTATAAAATACCTTAAAGTAAAATTGAAAAACTTAGTTGATTCCTTCGCATCCTTATTAAAAGCTATCACGAACGTAAAGAGTGAGGAACAGTTGCTGATATTTATGGAGTATTGTGATGTACCAGGTGGTATTCTAAGTACTTGACCATATATTTTATTTTCATAGTGATTTTATCCTAGTTTTATAGATGAGGAAACTGAAATACAGATGAGTTGAGAGATGTAACCAAAAACACACCATTCCATAATCTTAACACTCAAGTGCTGCCTTTTGTGGCATGTGTTCTGTTGGTTGGCTGGGCTTATTTTATTTTCTACCATCCTGCCAATACTTACCTTTCAAAATTATGCTTCAGCAAAGTAAAACGTTGCTGGTATCTTGGACCTTTGAGGCAAAGTTGCAGCTACTAATTCAGTGGAACCTGAGTCTACTGTGTGGGAGTGCATATTTGTCCTCAGCCTGTGAATATTTACTACTCCTTAGCCACTATATTTTCACTGTCAAATTTTTTTCACTTCAAAGTTCAGCCTAAAATCCTCCCTCTTCTCCAAATTGCCAATAAATTTTTCTCATATCTCATGTAGCACAATTCATTCTGTAGTGTATCAAGATCAAGTCTGTTACTTATGTGTTTACCTCTCCTAGGTTTGGAGTGTGTTAAGGGCAAACTGTACTCATCTTTATGTCACCCAGACAACCCCTGGCCAGTCATAGGCAAGAAAGTTAACACTGCTGTTAGCCTGCTTCAGGGTGTGACTTGAGTGTCCTTACTAGACACTCTAGACACTCTTCTGTCTTATCACATCCTGTCCCTTTAAGATATCTAGTGTGGGTCTACAGTCATACCACCGTGAACGCACCTGGTCTCGTCTGATCTTGGAAGATGTCTACTGTGGCCAAGCTCTTATCCCATTTTCCCCAAGATTTCCATCTGATTGTCAGAATATCTGTCATAAAGGAAGTCATACCTCTAACTTTTTATATTAAGAAATTTTAGAGCAAGTCCAAAGTTCTGTCTCCACTGGCCCTTTCTCAAACCCTTTCCAAATAACCATCTTACCTCATCAGGGCAAATAGCTAGCTTCAGCTTGTCTTCAGCCTAAAGCTGGGGTTTCCTGTTAAAGGTTTATTCAGGAATTAGGTCATTTCTTATGCTGTCTCCACTCTGCTCCACTCATTTTGGTGAATCTTCAGTACAGCACAAACTTACCCATTCATCAGGAGCTTTGGAGTTAAACCTGGCATTTGTTAGCTATATGACCTTAGTTTCCATTTCTGCGAAGCAAGGATAATGAGGTTTGTTTTGAAGATTGAATGTTATAATGTATGCAAAGTTCTTGGCACGTAAGCAGGTGTTAAATGAGCGGTAGTTACTATTTCAAATGAATTTATGCATACTTTTTCTTTCAGAGAGCCCGAGCCCAGCACGTTGTGCCCTGTACCATATCTCAGCTGCTTTCTGCCACTCTGGTCGATGAAGTGTTCAGAATTGGGAATGTTGAGATTTCACAGGTATGAAGAATGAAATAAAAATTACTTCATTTAAAAATATATAATTGTTACTTTGGTTTTGAAAACCAAACTTTTTTTCTTCTGATCTAGGTTGTCATCATCGGGATAATCAGACATGCAGAGAAGGCTCCAACCAACATTGTTTACAAAATAGACGACATGACAGCTGCACCTATGGATGTTCGCCAGTGGGTTGACACGGATGTAAGTGGTTTTTTAATCAGGTTGGGGTTACTTTGGGACTTTCGAGATATAGTCCCAGGTTGGACTATTTTTAGTCTTACTTTTTAAAGGTTCTTATAAAAATAATACATGAGTAAGACATCAAAGGCAAGGTCAATATATTTGATTTCATAAAAGTTTAAAACCTTATAAACTTTGCAAAATACTATAAACAAAGTTAAAGTGACGGGAGGTACTAGAATGTAAACTCTGAAAACAAGGAGTTTTATTGTCACTGTATCCCCAACACCTAAAACAAAGTTGCATAGGGGGCCCTAAGTAAAAGTTTAAATGAATGGAAAAATGTTCTGCAACATACTACAAACACTTAAATTTTTTATTTAATAAAAATTCTTACATGGCAGAAAAACCAACTGAATTTTAGAGAAACAGGCAAAGAAGATGCACAGATAATTCATTGTAGATGAAATACAGTTGCAACAACAACAAAAGCAGTTTTAATAAATGTTAAGATACTATTTTTAACTTATTAAGTCGGCAAAGAAAAAATAGAATGGCATTGCCTACTTCTGATGAGAGCAGTAGCTAGCATAGTATCCCTAGCATAGTGCCTCTAGCACTTAGTAAGTCACTGTTTTTTATGGGCAAGTGGCTACCATCCTACTCTGATGATGAGTATAAATTGATACAACTTTACTCAAAAGTCAGCTAATAATCAGAATCAATCATCATAAAAATGTTGACCTCTCTCTCCACTACTAGATTATTGAGTTGGCCAAAAAGTCCATTTAATTAAAAGACACATTTTTTCATTTTTACCAATAACTTTATTGATTTGGGTATTTTGAGTATGTCAGCTGTCTTCTGTGTGGTATGGTATAACATTGATTGTTTTCAGTTAATGTCTCAATTTGATCACTATCAACTTCCAACTGGTCTACCTGACTATGAGGAATTGTCCAGTGGGAAATCTCCAGCACAAAACTTGCGAACTACTTTGACATGTTTGATCAGTCTTAGCACCTTCTCCATATACTGCACAAACCTTTGAGTTTTGGTTTGGGTTTTCGCGTGTGTGTGTGTGTTTTAGTTGCATTTTTACCTTTCTTGAAATAATAAAGTATAATATGCCAAAAATGTCACAAAATTTCTTTCATCCTCAGTATTAAAATGGCTACACAAAAATTCACCAATTTTGGTAAGTTTTTTTAATGCATGCTGATATGACAGCCATCACAATACATTCTAACAAAATTGTTTTGTATGAAGTTAAAGACATCTAAGTGCTACCAAATGCACTTATGTGTTGTCCCCATAGGGGAAACCATCAAATGAACGAACTTCTTGGCCAACCCAATACATTAAGGAAATAAATACATGAGCAGTGATTCAGTTCTAACAGTGTTAATTATAGCATTGTTTATAATAAAAACTTAAAGTCAATCTCAAAATGCTAGCAATAGGTAATAATTAAACCATGTTATGTTTATAAAATATTCCAAGTGATGTAGAAATGTATGTATTATCACAAAAAAGTGTTTACCATAAATTGTTAACAGGAAAAGAGCGGATTACAAGATAGTGTGTATAAAATGACTACATTTTTGCAGTAACATGTATGGAAAAAATAGAGGGAAAGAAAACACATGTTTATCCTCTTAATTTTTTATTATTTACTTATTTATTTATTTTTAGAGAGAGGGGGAGAGAAGGAGAAAGAGTGGGAGAGAAACATCAATGTGTGGTTGCCTTTCATGTGTCCCCTACTGGGGACCTGGCCTGCAGCCCAGGCATGTACCATGACTGGGAATCGAACCGGCGACCCTTTGCTTCACAGGCCCATGCTCAGTCCACTGAGCTATCCCAGCTAGGGCTATCCTTTTTATTTTTTAATCAGGCAGAAGTCCTCTTGGCTTTTTATATTGTTTTTAAAATACCTTGTAGAAAATTTGGATAATAAACACTTTGTATTCTATTTTCACTTCAAAATCCACAAGTCATCTGTGGAGAAATAACTTGGTAGTTATTTATTTTTTGCTTCTCAGGAAAATACAGGATGATTTATTCACTAGTTATTATAGGAATATAGATTCTAAACCAAACTGCTTGGTTCCAGGTTTACAAAGATTGAAAAAAAAAACAGTCCCTGCCATCAAGTGGGGCAGGAGATACTAAGGATTCATAGTACTGCAGGCTCACACAAAATGTACCATGCTTGCTTATGAAACATTAAAGGCCCCCAAAAGCCCACATCTTAGAGATGACTACTGTCATAACATTTTGGTAAATACCTCAGATATTTCTCTTTGCATATTAGATGTATCCCTACAGTTTCATATAAAGGGTATGATATGCAACTGCTCTGTAATCTGCTCTTTTCATTCAAAACTGTGTTGTGGACTGATTTCTTAATGTGAATAAATACACATTTACATCATCATTTTTGGCAACTGCCTATTCCATCTCTTATTTAACAGCAGACCCAATCAGGGAACATTTAACTTGTTTCCAATCATTTGCTATTATAGACAGTGCCCCAAAGAATTCTGTTGTGTACATCTTTTCACAATTATGAGGTGATCTCTTTAAGATGAATTCTTAAAACTAGATTTTCTGAAAGAAACATACATTTACATAGTTTTCCTTTTAAAAAATCTTAACTTTATATTTTTACAGGTTTCCCCCCTTCATAAAGGTACCAATTTATCTATTTCACTAGTGTGTAAAAGTACCCAGTTAGCTCTCCACACCCTTTCTGACAGTGGGTTTTATAAATCTTTAAGTTTTTGTTGGATAGTTTTTTAAAATACAGTCTCATCAAGGAGAATTTCCTCTTTCTACTTGTATTTTTTTGGCTTTAGAGAATTAAAATTTTTTACTCTCTTCAATGTTAATTTGGGTATTTTATCTGGTAATAGATTCAGCTATGTAAAATAATAGGTAGAATGAAATGCAAAAAAATAGTTGATCTTCATGTGGTGGGAATTGGAGTGTTTTATTTTTAAAGACGTATTTTATTGTCTAATTTTTTTATAGTTATGTATTTTATAATCAGGAAAATCTCTTAAAACTTGGTTTATATATTTTTCTTATAAGTAATGTGTACATATTCTAGAAAACTCCAATTTTCCCAGTTAACCATTATTAACATTTTTTGGTGTGTGTTTTCCCCTAAATGGGAAATCGCCTTTTTTCCTACATGTCACAACTGGTCTTCCCAGATGTTTAATAGAATTCTGTGTTTTTGTATACTTAAGGTGTTTTAAATTTTTTGTATTGTAATCTGTGCTATGATGAATATTTCTAAAGCTAAATACTAATGCATGTTCTTAATTGCTTTAATTCCTAAAAGTAGAACTGCTATGCCATTAAGTATGTCCACTGTCTGCCAGAGAGGCATGTGCCTAAGAGCACTGAGTGAGAGTGCAGTCACCGTTTGCTTTTCTATGATGTGCATAACACAGAGCTTTGGAACTGGAAATGACATTAGAGATTTTTATTCTAATTTCTGATTTTACAAAAAAGTAAACTCTGAAAGGTAGAGCAAACTAGGTAGGTAGTGCCATGTTAGGATACTGTCTCTCTCTCACTTCATAACTTTCTGTTTCTGTACATAATTTAGAGATTTTAAAGAGGCTTTGACCACCATCACTAAAACCTTAGTGTTATGTTTGTGTTTTATATGTTAGGATGCCAGTGGTGAAAACACTGTGGTTCCTCCGGAAACATACGTGAAAGTGGCTGGTCATCTGAGATCTTTCCAGGTAAAGTCAGGGGGAAATGACTGTTAAAATGTATTTGCATGGAACAATTTCTGGATTCATGCCTGTGTTTAGGGTACTTAAAACTTAATTAAGGTTCCACCCTTGCTAATGTGGCTCAGTGGATTGGCACTGTCTTGCAAACCAAAAGGGCACGTATTCGATTCCCAGTCAGGACATGGGCCTGGGTTGCAGGCCAGGTGCTCAGTTAGGGTTGTGTGAGAGGCAGCTGATTGAAGTATATCTCACACATTGATATTTCTCTCCCTCTCCTTCTCCCTCCCTTCCCCTCTCTCTAAAAATAAATAAAAAAATTTTAAAAACAAAAACTAAAGTACCATGTTTAATGGAAGCTATAATGAAGCTATTTTATTGTTCTCTTCTTAAAAAGGAAATAATGGGTTTTTACCTTAATATAAAACTGACAGAATGGTAGAGAAAGAGCAGCATCCCCACCTACAGCTGCCACCTGTGACCTCCATTAGGTGTGGGTGGGCAGACACTGGATTTAGAGTTAGGATACTAGGCTTCGCTTGGTAGTGTAACCTTGATCAAGTCAGCGAGCATCTCTGATTTGGTGTGTGTTTTTTTATTATATTTTATTGACTATATTCGGATTAACCTTGAGTTAAAATTTTTAAGTATGTAACATTTTATTCATATTAGCAAGATATTATAATCAAGAAAGGAGCGATTAATGTTTTGACCTGAAATTCTCTTGAATGTGTTTATCCTTTATTCACTTTTCAATAGAACAAAAAAAGCCTGGTGGCCTTTAGGATCATGCCCCTGGATGATATGAATGAGTTCACCGCACACATCCTGGAAGTGGTGAACGCACATATGATGCTGGCCAGAGCTAACAGCCAGGTGAGCAGCCTCACTCATAGTTCTCCTTCCCCTAAGAGCATAGTCAGCTTTTGTGCTCTGGCTTTGATGAACTTGATGTTTTGAAGGTTGAGCCAGAATAAAGGTATTATTCAATCCTTAAAACATTTTCTCCATGAGATTTGCCATGTTATTTTATTGAAGCAGTGAAGCAGTCATGTTCCTCTCAAAATACAACTTCCTCTGACCCCACTGGCATGGATGGCTGGGACCTAAGACAACCTTCAATTGTAGACACGTAATTATAGACTCGGCTCTTAGTGCCAGGATTGTCGGTCCACAGTCAAAGGAAAAGCTCAACTAGGACAGCGTTTTGCTGCTTTCCTTCCAGCCTATTGGCTGTCTAGTTAAAATGTATACACCATTATTTTGTCCCTGAAATTATATTTCTTGCTTTGTACTGAAATTTGTTGACATTTTCTTTTGTATGAATTTAGTTTGGCAAGTCCATGTGGGACCACATAAGGGAGTTGTTGATTCCAGTGTTAGAATGTCCTTAGATGATTCTTTGTCTCTTTTTTTAATTGCTGTTCTGTTACAGTTGTCCCAGTTGTCCTCCCTTTGCTTTCCCCTGCCCCACCCACCCCCCACTTCTGCAGTCAGTCACCACCCTATTGTCCATGTCCATAGGTCATTTATGCCTATTCCTTGACTAGACCCTTCCCCTTCTCTCCCTCCTTATCCCCTTCCCTCCTCCCCTCTGGTCGCTGTCAGTCTGTTTCCTGTTTCCATGCCTCTGGTTCCAATGGCAAGATGGAAGATTGATTACACTAGGAGAGACTGATGAGCCATTAAGGATGTTCTTGAGAGAAATGGGAAATAAATAAGAAAAAGACATAATTTTAGATAATTATAGGTGTGCTGAATTAAAATTAAGCAGGATAGAAGAGAGTGATGGCAGGAAAAAGAATTCAGATGGAAGCACAATTCAGATGGAAGAAGAACATTCTAGGCAGAAGGAATGGAAGGTTAGAATCCATGAAGCCGGAATATGCTTGGCATTTCTGAGACCACCAAGAAGGCCAAAACATCTGGAGGGAAGCAAATGAGAGGGAAAACAGTTGGATGGAGGCTAGGAAGCAGGATGGAGATCATGTAGGGCTTTGTAGGTCATGGTGAGGATTACTTTATTCTCACTGATGCCAAGCCTTTAGAAGGATCTGTCTAGGGAGTGAGGTGGTCTGATTTACCTATTTAAAATCTCACTCAGGCTGCTGTACGGAAAGTAGACTATGAGGCACCAAGAATAGCAACAGAAGTAGTTTGGGAGAATGGTAATAGCAGTTGGAATTAGTAGTCAGATTTTGATGTTATTTAAAGGTGGACCTGACAGGATCTATTTGAGGATTGGATATAGGATGTAAGGAAAAGGGAGGGTTCAGAAATGACTCCTAGGTTTGGGCTTGAGCTTGCCCAAACCTAGGTGAAGCTTTCAAGTTTGGAGGGTAAAATCCAGAATTCTGTTTTGGATTTAACCCAGTATGAGGTGCCAATTAAATATGTAAGTGAAGAACAGAATGGATGGTTGAATGTTTTATAAGGTTGGGACTCAAAGAAAAGGTTAGGGATAGAGATAGAACTTTGGGAATCACTGTTGTACAGGTGATATTTAAAGCCTTGTATGAAGTAACACAGCCAGGGAGTAAAGGGGTCAGAGACCTAAGCTGTGGGACACTAACCTTTAAAAGTCAGGAAGCAGAATAGGAGCCAGGGAAAGTTAAAGAAGTTGCCAGTTTGGGAGGAGGAAAACCAGGAAATGTTATTCTGTAGAATATTCTGAAAAGACTATTTTAAGAAGGAGGGAGTACAGATGATTGCAGAACTCTACCTAGAAGTCAAATAAGATGATGAGAGAGGTCTATTGTCAAATTTGGAAACATGGATCTTCAAAAGAGAGGCTTCAGTAGAGGAGAGGGGGAAAGTTGGTTTGAGATTGAGATTGGGTAGAAAGTTTCGGGTGTCCATTTTATTCCTATACTTCATAACATACAGCGTAGGGCAAAAGCAAGAATTGGTGGTTAGGGACTGGAAACTGGGAGTATAGCAGTTACACTGAGGAGTAAACAGTCCTTTCCCTCAAAGAGTTTGCATTGAGCATTAGGGGTTCAGAGCATTTAAGCAGTGGTAAGGGGCAAGTGCAAGGTACCTTGGAACCTGAGAAGGGTTTCCTATCCTGACTTGGCATTAAGAAAGATTCCCCAGAGGAGGTTTTGCCTAAACTAAATCTTAAAAGATGCACGAGGTGGGGCCACTTGGAGCAGAACATGAAGTCCTTTCAGCAGAGACGACCAGGTAGGAAATTGCGTTCAGTTCAGTGCTCCTGGATCATACAATGTAAGTTAATTCCTGTTTCACCAGCAGGCCGTGTGGTGGTACCTAGCTTGAAAACAAAGGACCATGACTGGCTCTTGGTGTTTTGTTTTGTTCTGTTCTGTTTTGTTTTCCCCAAATGTCATCTAATAGACATTTCCTTAGTAGACTTCTGATAAACATTTGTTGGGTGAGTGACACTCCTGACTGGATGGGTTTTCTCCTGAGGAGCTGCCACAGTGCCCCTGTGTACTGTTATAAGTACTTGACATTGGATCTGTTGTCCTTGACTTATGCAGTTCAGTAGATTAACCAATGACTGAGCACAAACTGCTCACTAGGCACTGTGAAAACATGAAGGGGCTTGTGGGGGAAAGCGGCATGGAAACAGTGTGATGGCTTCCATGAGAAAGACTGGGCCAAATGCCGTGTGAGTTAAGGAGGAAGACCCTGACTGAACTTGGCTTAGGGAATGTCAAGGACGTGTTTAGCAGGCAGACGGCATGAGGAGCATTCCAGCTGGGAAATGGCATGTTCGGGTTAGAAGGATGTTCGTGGATGGAAAGAGGTTCAAGTGCAGCTGGGGAATAAAGTGTGTTGAAACGGAGTTATCAAGAATAAAATACAGATTTTGATGTCTAGTTGTGGTAGGTCTTGAATATGTAGAAGCTTTATATATTTTTCACAGGCAGGGGGCGCCATCTGGAAGCTTTTAGGCAGAGGAGTGGCATGACTTGAAGTTACTACTTGGTAAAGAGGGTTGATTGGGGTAGGAGAGACTAGCAGCTGATATACCAACCAGGAGACCAGGGGTGTTGAGGACTGACTTGAGCAACACTGAAAATGGTATTAAAAGGCTGTGGTGACAGATTGTGGAAGGTAAGTGAATGGACGATGCCGATCTGTGTGATTAGATTTGGGTTTACTAATGAGATGAGATATAGCAGGGCAAACAGTTTTAGGGAGGAAGGTAATGAATTTTATTTTGAAGTATGAGATATCTAGGTGGAGATATCCAACAGATGGCTGGGAAGAAGAATTTGTGGCCTAGGAGGAGGTCTGCAATGAAATCCTGGGAGGACCATCAGCCTTTTGGGAGACAGGTGGTAGACAAGGCTGATGAGGGGTATGGTGAAGGTATAGTTTGAGAGGTAAGTGGAAAACAAAAAGAATGTGGTGTGACCCAGTTGGTTGGGCGTCATCCTACAAAGCTAAAGGTTGCTGGTTTGATTCCCAGATAGGGCACGTGCTTGGGTTGTGATTTTGGTACCCACACAGGTTGCAAACAAAAGGCAACTGATGTTTCTCTCACATCAGTGTTTCTCTCCCTTTCATTCTCTCCCCTTCCCCTCTCTATAAAAATAAAGAAAATCTTTCTAGAAATAAAAACGAAGCCTAAAGAGGGGTACATTACAATAGGAGTATGCGCTGCAGTTTCTGCTTCTGAGAGGTCAAGTGTTAAAAAAAAGACTGTTGGCTGTTGTTGGTTGAAAAGTCTTTGGTGAGAACTGTTTCAAAGGTGTATTGAGAACCCTAAATAGTAATGGTTTGAGGGGTGAGTGACTAAGGAGAAGGGAAATGAAAACAGTGATTATAGTCTATTTTTTTTAATTTGGTTGTTGTAGAAAGAGATTGTGGAAACTATTTTTTCCTTGTAACGCTTCATGCCCAGTTGCCACTCAGTGAATACTTGAGTGATTCATCACCAAGAATATCATAGCAGACCTGCATAACTTTCTTTTCAGTGCTAGTTTTCCTCTGGTTCCCCTCACATCACAGAGAATAGAAGGGGTGAGGAGGTACTTTTTTTTCTGTTTGGTATGATGTGTGCTTCAAAGGATTACTTCACCTTCCTTTGAAATACCAGATAGTAGCTCTTTCTTCTAATGTAATTACTTGGTATTGGGAAAACTCTGCATAAATTGTTTTTTTGTAAGCTCCTCATTAAAAGTTCTTTAAAATAGCAAGGACTGTGGTTAAATTGATGAATTTTCTAATGTTGTGGACTTTTTAATTTAGCCCTCAGCAGGGAGAGCACCCATCAGCAATCCAGGAATGGCTGAAGCAGGGAACTTTGGTGGGAGTAGCTTCACACCAGCAAATGGTCTCACTGTGGCCCAAAACCAGGTAAATGATACATACCCACGTGACTCCAGAAATGCAAAACATAGACAATCCTAAATTTTGTTACTTTCTTAATGGTTCTAAGGTTGTCTAAGAACCCAACTTGTTTCCTTCCTATAGACACTGAGGTCTAATAAGGGAGCTCATTCAAAGTAGTTGCTAAAATCTTTCTGATTTGAATGTTCAGGTGCTGAATTTGATTAAGGCTTGCCCAAGACCTGAAGGATTGAACTTTCATGATCTCAAGAACCAGCTTCAGCACATGACTATAGCCTCAATCAAGTGAGTATTTGGTTTCTATGAGCTAGTGCTCCAGAAGTATACCCATTTCACCTCATCAGAGTTTCCTGGTAATGAGAGGTGAGTTTAAAATATGTGTTGGTTGCAGCCTAGTGACAGAAGGAAGTTATTAGTTATTCAGTCATGGAAAAGTAGAAGAACTCACAAAGATGGTGCTGTCACATCACTTATTCATTTGTTCATTCAGCAAATACTGAATCCCACTATGTGCTGGGATGTAATTTTCAGCAAAAATTGACCTAATACCTCTTGTTGATTTAATCTGGAGGAGCAAGGTCCTTAGCTCCTAGTCCTCAGAAGTACGGTCCCATTTGAGGTACCATCCCCACCGTGGAGATGTGTGCATCAGGCTTCCTGGACCTGAAGCCATTAGATGGCTTCCCCACTGTTCCTGTCCTGACAACATGTCAGATAAGCAGCTTCCTGATTCCAGTGAACTAATAGACCAAACTGAGTGTTAATGGTGCTTGTTATAGTTATCATAAATTGGTTATAATCTAGGCCTAGATAGAAAAGAAATGCTCAGGTCTAATTCTACTTCCTGTCCTATAAAATGAGGATAATAGTTTCTGTCTCAGTTACTATGATGATGAGATACAGAATGGCTGTCGCATAGTAGGTGTTCTAGAAATTGTTACTGTTACTAAATATGTTACTGACACTGGCCCTGAGAGCCTTGAAGGGTTTGAAGGTCTCTTACCATTTCTGGGATGACCTTCCCTTTACTTCCTGCAACTTTACTTCCCAGAGAGGGTGGTAGAGTTTCAGTGGGTGCGTGGAGAGGAACAACTTTTAAAAATAGCTCTTTATTCTAGGGGATTTTTATGTGCAAGCTGGACTATAGCTTTAGATCCTTGTTTTGATTTGCTTACACTGGTACTGGAGTGAGGCCCTATTTTTTTGCCTTTACACAGTTTGGGAGAGGGATCCAAGGCAGCCTTCTCCCAGGGACCATTGTCTCCATGGATTACTTAAGTTTTCTGATTTTTTTTAACCAGCATCTCTCCCTGCAAGAGCTTTTTGTGAGCAAATGGCTGTGAATTCTTAACTAAGATAGAAAGTGGGGGTGGGGATTGATTGGTTTACATTTTTGGCAGTATCAGAAAGGCAATTGCCTTTCTCCTGTATAGTTTGAAAATGGGCCTTTGCTCTTTCCTATGCCCTTTTAAGGTCAACCCAGTGCCTTCAGAGGCTAACACAGAAGAGTAAAGTCAGTCTCCATAAAACCCAGAGAAAAGATGGTAAAACTCCTCTTGAGAGCCTTATCTGGTGTCGCAGCTAAAAAAATTTTAATATAAGAATTTTTTTAAAAAAAAGAAAATGAGCCTCTTCCCCCACTTTCTTTCCAGGCAAGCTGTGGATTTTCTAAGCAACGAGGGACACATCTATTCTACTGTGGATGACGATCATTTTAAATCCACAGACGCAGAATAACTGGACCTAATTGAGCACCCAACATGTTTTCCAGCTGGACCTATTTTCATGATCTGTTTTGTCCAGCTGTGCCTACGTTTGACCAGTTGACTTCTAGAAAGTAAGTTTCATCTGTAAAAGGTCTCAGTTGACCTCCTTATGAAACTTATTCTCTTCTGTTTTTTTGACGTTCAGAGGGAGATGGCCAGCTGACGGGGTGATCCAGAGTGGTATTTCTTAAAGAAGTTACAAATTAACTAGTTATAGTAACATCAGGAGAGATGGAAGTGGAAGAAGGATGCTACCAAGAGAGTTGGGCAGTATTACTTACATAATTCTCAGGAGTTTCTATTCCTAAAATATTTTCTGTTGAGAGAAGATGAGTACAACAACTAGGGCCTGTCAGCAGAGAGCCACCCAAGAAATGTGCTAACCTCTGCTGGTTTCGTTCCCCGTTTTGGTTATGTGGTGTTACTTTCAGAATTGCACTTTCCCTCAACTTGTCATGGCTGATGCCAAAAGCATTTTTGTAAACATGAGGTTCTGGAGTGGTGGCCTCATGTGTCAAAGGAGAGGAAGAAATGTTACTGTGTTTTGTATAAAGTGAGTACATCCGTGTGGTTAATAAAATAGTTATGTTATTGTAGTAACTTGTGAAGATGTCCTTATTTTTCTTGTTAAATTAGTGTAATTACTACCTTACCTGAGACAGTATAGCATGGCTGGACTTGGGTTTGATGTATTGGCTCTCCTTCTCAGGATCTTGAGCAGGATAATGTCCGCTCTGAGAGCCTCCATTTATGGAAGACATCAGGGGTGCCCGGCCAGAGAGCTCAGTTGGTTAGAGCCTTGTTCCAGTAAGCCAAGGTTGCGTTCGACCCCTGGTCAAATCATTCTCTCTCTCATCATTAATTTAAAAAAAAAAGACAACATCATTTCCTTATAGGTTTGTTATGAAAATTGAATGAAATAAAGTTTGTAAAGCATCTAGTGTTACCTTTAATGAGGGTTGTAAGGCAGGCCTTCATTTTGACTGGCAATATATAATCATGTGACTGAATCAGATACCTGCCATGTCACCTCAAGGTGAAACTAAAAGCCTCAGCTATTTTTTGGACAACTTAATCAGCTCCTTTTCTTGAGGAAGAAAAAACTAGTTCAAAGATGTTTCTGACAACTCCAGAAAGCAAGCTACTTCTTGTATGAAAGAACTTAATTCTGAGGTAAGTTAATGAGGTGTAATATGCAAATAAAAGTTCTATGATTGCTTTAACTGTATTTCTAAATGAGATCTTAGCAGCTGTGCAGAGAAGGCTCCACGGCCCTGGTTTCTAATCTCGAACAATAAAGTGGTTGTTACCTTCTATACATGCAGAGTAGTTCCCACCTTGGGAGTAGTGCAGATGTTAAAAGTCAGGCACTGTTTGGTGGGTTTGTTGTTGTTGTTTTTAGATTTTATTTATCTTTAAAGGAGAAGGGAAGGAGAGAGGGAGAGAAACATCAATGTATGGTTGCCTTTCATGCATCACCCGGCTCAATCCACTGAGCTACACCAGCCAACCAGGCCTATGTTTGCTTCTTGATTGTTTCCAATAAAAAGCGGTGAGCTAAAAATAGGTTACAAAAACCATATACATTGGAATTTGGAATGCATGATAGGACACTTTAATGGTTGGTGGACTTCTTTCTAGCTGTCAGGCTAGTGCTCTCCAGTGGGCAAGGCAGTAGCAGTGGTTCTGGGCAGAAGTCTTGATTCCTTTGATTTTTTAATTTGTGTAGTTAAAAACTACTTCCTTGCTAAGTCAGGTGTTTGTTGAGTACCTATTATGTCAGCCCATTGGTCAGGCATAAGGAATTTAAAGCAAAATAAGAGATTGGAGTCACAGGACTTGCTAGTTCAGCATTCCCAGGAGCACAGGGTAACTGCTCAGTGGCGCTGAATTCCCTGCCACCTTGGCATTTACACGGTCTTACAGAAGTTGTGTGGTTTCTGAGCACTGCGGAGGCCTGTGAGGCAGCCCATTCCTCAGCAGACTGAAACTCCAGCCTTGATGAAGCTCCTGCAGGAGGCATCTGCACTGTAGGCGTTTGTGGTCACCTGGGATGTATACATAGTGTTCTGCTAGCACGTTGCTGGGACAGCATGAAACAAGTTCCTGTGGGTCCCAACTTCTTAGAAACACCCCCAACATCACAGCCAAGCAGTGAGTCCAGCCTGCTCTCTGGAGCCTTTCTCTAGGTGTGTGTGGGCAGTTGGGCTCTTTGAGGAGTAGTAGTGCTTTATTGGGTTTAACTAAAGAAAGGCCAGTAAGAGGTAGTGTCTGATGTGGTTCAGTTGATTTGTTTTTTAAAATGCAGGTGAGAGAAATTCAAGACTCATTAATAAATTTTTTGAGCATATGCCTTTAATTTATATTCACTTATTTACTGTATTAGTATGTTATATATTATAAAACATTCAAAATATAAGCAAAAAAGAATATTAAAGATATGAAGGGATGTACTAATAACTCATGTGTTCCAGTAGACCATCTCAAGTACTCCCAGGCTTGTGCTCACTTTGAGGACCACTGCTCAGAGGGAATCTCAGTCCCCATCAGAACACCTCCCATGCCCAGTGGCTTATTCCAGAGGTAAAGACAAAAGCACCCTGCATTTAACATCTGCCTTTGGTCCACTCTGCCTACCCTCATTGCTCAGAGTGCACACGCGCAGTTGAGATTTTCACACATTTTCCTCCTAAGTCCAGTTTTCCTTGTGAAATTTCATCCTTTCTCATTTGGCCACTCATTAGTCCCTTTGTAGGAACTACCAGCCCTCTTCTCTGCATACTTTTGGTGATCTTCCTCAGTTTGATGCCAAAATTAAACGTGAAGTGAAAACCATTGATGTTTTGCATGTGGGCTTGGCCCCTTGGGCTCTGTGCCAGGGAAGAACTTTCTCACTTTGTTGCTTACTGGTTGTTCCAGAATAGTCTCTTCCTTGGGATCCTCCTGTGCAGTTCAGTTTGCCTCCCTGGAGGAGGGCATGAGAATTTCGAGGAAGATGAGGATGGGGAGCTAAATATTTTACCTGGAAAACTCCATACAGTGATATGGGGACCAGGAAGCCTGGGAAATCCAGTGGGTACAGACAGGCCAGAGGGATGGGAGGCAAAAAGATGACAGATTCTAGGGGACCCCTAGAGTCTGGGGGTTGGAAATTTTACCCTCTTTCGGCTCTCAGCTCAGCTGGAGACTCAGATCAAATTTTTATCGGCCTCCTGTCCTCTGCTGACCATGGTGGTCAGTTTCAGGAAACCATAGCCCCACCAATTCAGGAAATGAGTCCTATGGTCTCACTTCCCTCACCGAACAGGCCTAAAACAGCCCTGGAAGCTGAGTCAAACCAAGACAGTACCACGACTGGGAGACATTGCAGACACTAGGAGCAGAGGTCTGATCTTGGTCAGTAATGATGATACATGTTTATTCTGTACCAGGCAGGCATTGTGTTAAGTACTTTACAGTTCTTAAAACAGTCTTGTGAGGCAGATGACTTAGTTTCATTTTACACGTGAAGAAACTAGATCTTAGGTTAAAATAACTTGCTCATAGTCACAGCTGACAGGTGGTGGGCAGGGAGCCTAGCGCAGGTTTGGGACTAGTCTGCCTCCTGAAACTTGATCACTCAAGCTTGTTTCCTGTTTTTTAAAATCAGGCTATTGTCTGCCTCAGAAAGTTGAGGATATAAATAGGATGGTAAAGGGTCTGGCACACAGAATAAGTGATTTTGCATTTTTTCAGAAGCTCGAGTATCATTTTTAGTTTACAGTTTTTGAGTGAAGTAATCTTGGGTATTCACCTACAGCTGCCGTGCTAGGTTCTGCAGAGATGAGAGAGTGAGTCCTGGTCTCTCAGGAGATTAAAGCCTTAGCGCAGGGGTGGAGGGTGGGGGTGGCAAACAAAAAAGAGTCAGTTCAGGGTGATCAGGATTGAGTCCCTCGTTACCAAGAGGCAGGAGTCACTGTGCCACCATCACCAAGGTTGGTGACTTTGATTCCTTTTGTGCCAACCAGTAGGATAGCTGGTGTTGGGATCGCAAGGTTGAGTAGCAACCAATTGGCTCTTCTGGATACCAAAGCTCTGAGTCCCAGGACGTCCAGTGTAGGGGCTCGGCCCAAACAAGCCCCAGTGGCAGGAACCTGAGAGAAGGCGGTGCAGTGTCCTTCCTGTTTTAGACAGTCCCACAAAGCCATTCCCTGTCCGCAGTCTGGTTTCTGTGGAACTGTCCAAGGTCTTCTAAAGGCTTGTCACAGGCCTGGTGACAAGGCTGGTGTCCTGGACCCCCTGAGAAGAGGCAGTTAGGATGCATGGTTCCTCCAGCATCTACAGGGTTTTCCGAAAGCACTCAACTACTTCTTCATAGTCATGTTTGTCACCAACTGCAAAGAAGTCCAAGGCAGTGAGGGTCTGTGGCCTTACGCAGACTGCTTCCCCTACTTTCTCATTTCAGGGCACGCTTCCATGTCTGGTCAGGGAAGGGGTTGGTCTGAATGTTTAAGGTCTTTGCTAGCTGGGAAACTGTATCTCTTGGGATGAGCAGGGAGCATGTTGAAAGAGGAGCTTATTTTCCTTGCCTGGACTCCAGGGCCCCCAGGAGAGGAATAGTAGGGACCCTTCAGCCTAAGTCCACCCCGTATAGGCTTGACCATCCAGCCTGGGTTGCAGAAAGGTCTGCCCAGGGGCAGGGCCCTGCTGAATGTTCCGCCAGCAGTATCCAAGGAGTGGAGAGGGGACGGGAGGGGCAAGGATAAGGGTGAACGGCTGACAGGACTCACCTGGATCCAGTGTGCTGCACTTAGTGGGCATGAGGCCTTGGCGGGCAGGAATCTTGCTGTAGGTATTTGATCCAACTTCTGTGGGCTTTGCCAGGGTCGTCATCTTGAATTTGGGCAGCAGAGGGTATTGCTGCAGTTCTGAGACAGGAGAAGACTAAGTAGGGGAAAAAACAGAAGTCAGCAGGGTCCCAAGAAATAGCAGTAGAATCTGTGAACTCTAACTTCCTTCAAATGTCATTTCCTCTGCTCCCTTCACTACTTCCTTTTCAAGGTAGGGCTTCTCAGGATCCTGCGGTTTTTGCCACAAGCACATGACACGGTCTTTGGCAGGGGAGGAAAGGGCCAGGGTAAGAGAGAATGTGGTTGGCAGCTAGAGACAGTGTCCCGAGTTTCTCCACATAGGCCTCTGGTCAGTGTCCTTCGCATCTGCTGCTGAAGGGGAAGGGCCATAGTGACACCTCAAGGCAGGGCGCTAGGGCCGAGAGGAGTAGCAGGGGGAAGGGGGCTTGTCCCGAGCTCCTGCCTTGTGCTGGATGCTATGTGCCTATGTGCTCATTCAATCCTTGGGTGATCCTGAGTCGCTGGTTCAGTCCCAAATTTATACAGGACTCAGAGAGTATGACATGTCAAACCCTACACAGGGACTCCCTAGCTGGGCCGAGGCTCTAGCCCAGAACACATCTGTCACCTCTAAAGCCAGTGCTTTTTGCCCTGGCCAGGTAGTTCAGTTGGTTAGAGGGTTATCCCAATACACCAAGGTTGCAGGTTGATCCCCAGTTGGGGCACACACAAGAATCAACCAAAGAATTCCTAAATAAGTAGAACAACAAATTGATGTTTCCATCTCTGTGTGTCTGTGTCTCTTTTTCTCTCTCTCCCTGCCCCCACTTCATTTCTAAAAATCAAAAAATAAAAACTAAAAGAAAATAAATGAAGCCAGTGTTCTTTCTACCACACCATGCTTTAGAGAGCAAACAGTACAGCTCCCTGGTCAGCAAGCCAATACTGATACCCAGAGAGGACAAGCTGCTGGATCAAGGACAAGAAGCAGGGACTGGGCCCAAAGTCACTTCCATCAGGAAACAAGGCTGGGACTGAGGTCTCTGAATTCTCTGTCCTGTATTCTTTCCAGCACTGATAGGTGTCTCCATCTATTCTTTGTCCTCTCGGCAAACAATTGTCCTTCCTTTGCAGATATGACCCACTCTGGGCCTGAGATGCAGAATTAATCTTTTGAACTTCCACTGTTGTCCCACTGCTCACACAATACAAACTACAGGTAGAGCGTGGTAGTCAGCTGCTCAAGCCACGTGGTCACACCTGACTTCAAACCCCAGCTCACCATTTGTGAGCCGCGTGATCTCAGGTAAACTGCCTTACCTGCCTGTGTTCATTCTCTCCATGGTACAAAGAGATGGTAACAGTGCTGGCTGGAGAGAGACAGTGTGGGAACTAAGTAAGGCAATGCATACAAGGTGCCTGCCACAGAGTAAGTGCCCAACAGTCAGCAGCTAATGAAATAGCACTGAATGCTGTTCTCTCAGGTCCACTGTGGTACGAAAGCAGATGCTCAGAGTCCAGGCCACGGAGTGAGTAAACTGCGACAGCGATTGAGCCTTTATGTCTACCTGGTTCTTTCCCCCTTACTGGGATCCATTTTGGTTCAGTTCAGCACTCACTGGCACTTTCTCTGCCCCCTTTGGAGTGGGTGAGGTCTCTGCCCCCATAGGACTCTCACTGTAGCCAGAGAGACTTGGGTAAATCCAACTGAAAACTACATGTCCCCCACCCCACCCCCAGCTGTGTCCAACATGAAGTGTGAACACACGAGAGGGAGGACCCTGCCTAGGAGGAAATCTAAGCTGAGTCTTGCCCATGAGCCTGAAAGAAAGGGATGGTGTGTGTAACTACTTTTGCTCTGAGGCAGAAGTCCTAAGCACAGTGAGGGGCTTCAGGAGCTTCTCTGAGTCTGGACTGCGAACCTCAGAGTTGGTGGGCGAAGACGGGCCTGGGAAGGTGACACTGGAGTCAGCTGATAAAAGACCCCAGATGCTGTGTGAAGGGGTCTGCACTACCTCTGGCAGTGGAGAGCCACTGGGAGTTACGGAAAATGAGGCCAAAACCCATTGGTGACCAGGAGAGGATTTGGAAGACCATTCTGAGAGCTGCAGGGAGGGGTTGAAGAGGCTGCCAGATAGTTTAGGTCAAAAATAATTAATCTTGAACTAGGGAGTAACATCAAGGGTAGCAAAGAAAGGCAAAGCACAATGAACTTGGAATCAGAATGCTTATGCTCCACTTCAGCCTTCCTGGTAATTAAGTGTGACTGGTGCATCTCAGGGCCGCTGAGTCCTCGTTTTCTCAGCTGTAAAATACAGATTATCACACCAATATGGCTGTCTGGATGGAATAAGAATAATAGGTGCAAAGTATGCATTTTCAAACTGCAAGTTCCATACAATCATAAGAGAAACGCGATGCTAGACAAAGGAGAATGGCCGGACTTTGTAGGGACCCTAACAAGTGAACCCGTCCCACCAACATTGGTTATACTGGTACCTTCATGCTTCCCTCCAGGCCGCTCTGTTTCTTCTGCTCACTGAGGTTCTGACGCTTCGGGGGCCTGGGTGGGGGACCTTGGCTCTTTGAGGCCGGTAACTTCCGAAGGTGATAATAGAAAGCATCTGTCAGCTCCTCCACTGTGGCTACGGGGAGAGACCCAGCTGCCTGGCCTGGCTGCCTCTCCTCCTCCACAATAGTCAGGTCCAGCCACTGGGGAGGAATCTCGAAGTACATCCCAGGCTCTGAGTCCAGGCTGACCACCAAGAAGGGTTCCATGATCTTCTCCTCGAGCCGCAGGCCAGGGAAGAGGGGCAGAGGGTCAGCAGGGTGGCTGCTGTCCTTGGTCACCACCTTGACTTCACAGGGCAGTGAGAACTGGGCAGTCAGATCTGCCAGGTTGTATCGCCGGGCATCACTCATCTCCTCCACAAAGCTGCCAGAGAAGTAGAGGGGCAGCACAATCTGTTCTTGATCCTCTGCCTCCTCTTCACACTCCTCCTCCCCAGCCTGGTCACTGAGCCGGTGACACATCAAGACGTCCATGTCCCTGCCGTGAGACCCATGGGCCTGACCAGACCCCAGCACCTCCAGCCTGTCTCCCATAGCCAGGGAGGCAAACCCAGGGATCTCCTCCTCATCACCCTCACAGTCCTTCATGGCCACCACCCGCAGTGGCCGGCCGGGCTGCAGAGCACCCAGGAGGTCATAGGCTGTGGAGAACTCTCTTGGCCGTCGCCGCAGTTTCCCATGGTAGGCTCCAGAGACCATGAAGTATCTGGGCACCTTCCGGCCCTTGGTTGAGGCCAGGACCCGCCAGGGTGGTGAAGCCAGGCCATGGATGCAGAGCCCCTGGCCTTTCCGCAAGGAACCCACCCACGGGCTGAGGAAGATGGGCGGCCCCTCCGGGACTTCCAGGATCTGTGCATTCAGGGGGAAGGGGCCTCCCCGTGCCAGGACCTCGCTCAGCAGCAGCGGTTGGATGAAATGGATATGTTCAGAGGAGGTGGTGACATCCTCCACGTCGACCTCCAGGGTAGAAGGGATGCTGACGATGGTCCTGCGCACTGTGGAGGGCAGAGGTCAGCTTAGTGGTGTGGCCACACGCCACCTCAGCAGCGCACTCTCCAGCCCCAGCAAAGAGATCTGGGCCGGCTGACCTCTCTCCCTTTGTCTTTGCTGCCAGCACTGTCCTACCGTCCCAGATCCCTTGGCCAACTCTTGCCTTCAACCTCTTTCTTTTTAAAGTTATTTTAGAAAGTTTTAAACATTTATAAAAGTAAAAAGACAAGTGTAGTGACTCCCATGTACCCACCTACAACACTGAACTCAAGGCCCATCTTTCTTTTTTTTTTAAGATTTTATTTATTTATCTTTAGAGGGGAAGGGAAGGAGAGAGGGAGAGAAACATCAATGTATGGTTGCCTTTCATGCGTCCCCTGGTCTGCTGGGAACTGGCCTGCAAGGAACCGGCCTGCAACCCTGGTATGTGCCCTGACTGGGAATCGAACCACAATTGTCTGGTTTGCAGGCCCGCACTCAATCCACTGAGCTACACCAGCCAGGGGTCTCAAGGCTCATCTTTAATCTCTACTTCCATCTATTTCCCTCCACTAGATTATTTCAAATCAGAGCCATCATATCACATGATCTGTGGGTGATTAAAAATTTAACCACCTAACCACAGTATCATTACTACACTGAAATAATAGTGATTATCTGGTCATTCCTTAATATAGAACATCCAGTCAGTTGAACCACTTTTTAAATTTTAATTGAATGTAATTTTTTAAGCTGCCTTTCTAAGTCCTTCCTGGATTTAAATAAAGAGAGAAAATCAAGTCAAGATAAACAATGACTAAATAACCTTGTTTCCTCTCTGGATTAGTACCTGGTGTATAAACTCAAAGGGTGATTTTGTATATGAGGAAAACTGGCATGTCTTGAGGTTGACCCATACCACACGGAAGATGGAGCAGGACACAACATCTCCATTTTGCAGGTTAGAACACTGAGGCTTAGTGGGGTGGAGGTGACTTCCCTCAGGTCACACCGCTGGGGTTTTTGCTTGTGCCAGGTGAACTGATCATTGGTTGAATCTGGGAGATGTGGGGGTTCATTATACTGTTTGTTTTTTTTTTCTTCAAAATACTCATGGATTAACTGAGCTGCCTCATTATCCACCCACCATGAAAACCCGTGGCTCCCCAAACTGTGGTCTCTTACTGCCCAGGGCTTGCTGGGAAAGAGCTAACCTCCATATCTGGGAAGAAATGTTCAAGATGAGCCTCAAACATCTTCTACCAGAAAGCAAGAAAACCTATTCAAGGCCACGAAAGTATGTCAAAACTTAAGGAGCCAATCTGAAAAGGCTCCCATTGGCCAAAGCTGAGATAATTTATTCAAATAAGAATAACAAGTTCAGTGGATTGGAATTGTGAATTCATAATGATTTTTTTTTAAAGACCCTAAACCACCCACTAAAGGATGCTAAGGAGCAAACTCAGTATTTTAAAAACTAGTTTAAAAAAAAAAAAAAGGCCCTGGCTGGTATAGCTCAGTGGATTGAGTGCCGGCCTGGGAACCAGAGAGTTACTGGTTTGATTCCCAGTCAGAGCACATGCCTGGGTTGGGGGCCAGATCCCCAGTAGGTGGTGCTCAAGAGGCAACCACACATTGATGTTTCTCTTCCTTTCTTTCTCCCTTTTTTCCTTCCCCTGTCTAAAAATAAATAAGATCTATTTAAAAAATAATGTTATTTCTTAGTCCTCAGCACAGGCTGGTGGCAGGGTTGGTGACTCAGGTAGAACCTAGTCAGGTCTGACCAGCTGGTTACCAAGCCTGAACAGAGGTGAAGAATGGTGTCCAGGGACCTCTGCATACACAAACACAATGCCCTCTATGTCCTGTACAGAGTGTAACAGAGTAAGTGAGGAGTTTTCTCTATGCAGTTTCTCCATAAAGGAATGACCAGCTTAAAATATCACCATTGCAATTTCTAACAAAATCATGGATCTAGGGAGTGGTCAGCGGCAGCCACTCACATCACATTGGCCCATCCACTGTGTTATTTGATCTACACCCCATGGCAAGGCTGATACTCGAGTTAGTCAGGTAGGTGGCAGACACAGAGTCAAGTGGGGATTCCTTGCCCCATACCTCACACAGCTATAAAAAACTGTGCCCCTTTCATCTGTTAAGCCTCTGGAGCCAAGTGCCTGTTTCCAGGTGTGTACAAATCTGGAACTAACACAGTATGCCTGAGACTGCTGTCCCTAGAAAGACCTGCCTACAATGTCAGTCCTTGGCTGGCATGCAGGAATCGTGGATTTGGGGAGGGGTCCCCACCATTCCCTGTTAAGAATGGATCACTGTGCCCTCACTGGGTAGCTCATTTGGCTAGAGCATTATCCCAGTACACCAAGGTTGCAGGTTCTATCCCTGGTCAGGTCACATACAAGAATCAACCAATGAATGCATAAATAAGTGGAACAACAAATTGATGTTTCTTTCCCTGTCCTCCCCTCTCTGCCCCTTTTCCTCTCTCTAAAATCAATAAATTTTTAAAAATGTTAAAAATGGGCCCTAGCCAAGTGGCTCAGTTGGTTGGAGCCTCACCTGGTGCACCAAAAGGTTGCAGGTTCAACTCCTGGTCGGGGCATGTACAGGAGGCAACCGATCCGTGTTTCTCTCTCTGTCTCTATCTCTCTCCCCCACTTCCTCTCTCCCTAAAATTAACAAACATATCCTTGGGTGGGGATTTTTTAAAAAGTGAGTCACTGCCTAAACTGTGCAAACCATGGATTTAAGCTGAGCACCTGCTTTCCCTCTGGGGTCTGGAATCTTTGTAGGGGTCGGGCAGCAAGGGCCTCTGTGACCAGTCCCCAGTAAAAACTGGGCACTGAGACTCCAGTGAGCTTCCCTCACAGACAACACCTCACACGTTTTGCAGCCCTTCAGTGCTGGAGGAATTAACTCCCTGTGTGAGTCCTGGTTTCCTCTGGGCTTCTCCGCATGTACTTTTTCCCTTTGCTGACTGTGCTTTGGGTCCTTTCGCTGTGACCCATCAGAGCTGTGAGTACAACCGTGTGCCCAGTCCCGTGAACCCCCGTATGGAATTGGCAGACCTGGGGGTGTCTCAGGGCCCACCCAACAGAAAAGTCAGGGAGCAGGGGATGGAGTTTACACTCCACAAAGGATGCTGATGACAAAAATCCAAAATGTGAAGAAGCTCACAGGACAAAAAGCCTACTCTCTTCGACAGAAATTACAAGGAAAATTTAAAAAGGGGGAACCTATAGATTAAAAGGGACTTAAGAGACATATCAATCAATGGCAATGTTGTGGACCTTATGGGGATCTTGAGTGGATAAAATTAAAAAAAATTATGAGATAGTGGAGAAAATTCAAACACCGGGTAGGTGTTGCCAGAGTATGCTGGCCATAGGAGTGATTGATAGTTCATGAATTTGGTGTGATGGTGGTATTGTGTCTGTTTAAAAAAAGTCAGCCCTGGCTGGTATGGCTTGGATTGAGCGCAGGACTATGAGCCAAAGGGTGGCAGATAATTTTTTTAAAATAAAAATAAAAAATAAAAGCGAGCTTCCAGTCAAGATGGCGGGGTAGGTAAACGCAGTACTCACATCCTCCCACAACCACATCAAAATGACAACTCAACTGCAGAACAACCATCATTCAGAACCGCCTCAAATTAGCTGGGCAGAAGTCCTACAACTAAGGGCATGAAGAAGAAGCCGCATCGAGATCGTGACCTTGTGCCCCAGTGGCTGGACAGTGTGCAGAAAAATAGAGAGCTATTGCGTTTGGAACTGAGCGAGGATGAAGGCGGCGGCCTCTTCCTTCCTGAGTCGTCTGTCATGGACCATGTCAGGTTCAATGAGAACAGGACTATTACTGAAGAGGATGACTACAACGATGAAAAGAAGCATGAAGCCAAACTCAGGTGGTTCACCAATATTTTAAAAATAAGACTTTTACACAAGCACTATAATAAAAAAAAAAAAGAGCAAGAAAGGTGGACCAGTCTCCATTCCAAAGTATGGGTCCAATCAGAAAACAGGATTCGTCCAACAGAAGTACAAAGACATGAACATCTACGTGAACCCCAAAGAGCTAATGGTCCCCAAAGCAAAAGAGCAGCTCAAGCTTCTGGAAGTGCTGGCTGGGACCATCCACCAGACTAAGTGGGGCTGGAGAAATGCTGAAAACAGGCCGGTGGACAGGCTTGTGGTCCACAGCCAGGGGGTCTGCCATGAAGAGTGGTCAGATATTAACTGATAAATGCTGCGGCCAAACATCAGTCCTTGTTTGCCGACATGTGATGAGTGATGCCCGCTGGGAAAGTGATCCCGGCAGAAGCACTGCCAGGTTGTGAACAGGCGAAGGACTGCCTGACAGTACAAAGGGTGTTGGACTGCCAGGCAGTGTTCTTAAACACTTCAGTGTCTTTAAAAAAAAAACAGTCGCATTTTAAAATAGAGACAGTTTAAAAAAAAAAAGAAACACATATTGGAGTATTGACGGAGAAATGCTGCAATACCTGGGGTCGGTCTGCTTTGAAACAGGTGCAGGGTGGGGAGGGTGGAGTTGAGGAGATGAAACCGGACAGCCAGCAACTGTGACGCTGGGTAATGGAGTCCTGGGGGTCTGTTATCCTCCTCCTTGCTTTCATACAGGTTTGAATTTTTGTACAATAAAGTAATTTTAAAAACTTTTTCAAAAACAGGGCAAAGAATCCCCACTTGGCTCTGCCATCTGCCAGCCATCCTGAACGACTGGTCTCAGTAACTGCCAGGGGGCTCGAACTCTGGCCTCCGACCAGACAGGCCCTCTGCCTCTGCATCATCGGCATGTTGCCCCCAGCCCGGCCCAGGAAGTACCCTGTGAAACAGCTGGGGATACAGTCCGTGCCCTCTGCCGTCCTCACACAAGGACCTGCAGAAGCACCTGCTCCCCCCAGAGGCGGGAGAAGAGGTTGCTCCTCCTGAGCAAATGGTCACGGTTTCACGTGGCAACTCTGTGTCCTAGCTGCCAGTAAGCTCACAACCCACTTTGCCCAATTTTATAAAGTATCTGGGACTACTTGCTCTCAAGTTAGGTTATTTGCCTATCTCCAGTTACACCTAATTTCCCACTCTTTCAGAATCTTTATTCTGTTACTCTGTATAAACTGTGTAAGCCACCTGGAATCCCTAGACTGTGGCGGGGATCTTCCGTCAGAGCAGCTGCCCAGGGGCCCTCTCTCCCTTCTCCACCGACCCCCACCCACCTGTCCCAACAACTCACTTTGCATGATGGCTTGGATCTCATAGTGCGGCCTCAGGATCAAGGAGCGCCAGGGGAGGGAGGGGCAGGTGAGGAGGAGGCCCTTCAGGGCTGGGTCCTGCAGGGCCTGCAGCAGGGTCCGAGGGGCACCCGTCTCCAGTTCCCAGAAGGGCCCCTTTGTGGACAGGGGCAGGTGCAGGACCACCACCTGGGTCCCCACGCTTAGCACACAGCGGGCAGAGCAGGTCCCGAGGTGCATTTCCACAGACTCAAGCATGAGGGGCTGCTCCTCAGGCACCACCCTGGTCTGTGTGTTAATTCTGTAGATGGACATGAACCAGATGGGCAGCTGCTTGGAGCTCCGGATCAGAGCAGAGACAAGTTCCTCCAGGGTTCCATAGCTCTGAGGGCCAGTGAGGGGGCTGAAGTGGCCTGTGGGGAACAGCAGAGGGGGTCAGGGTGGAGCAGGCTTTGGCTGGGTCCATGGCCAAATGTACCAGGCCCCGGGCTGGCTGACGAGAACCCTTCCAGATTCCCCCAAGGATAAGGCACCAAGGACAGGTCAGCATCTGGACCCCTGGGCCACAGGGCTGAGAGGTGGGAGGCAGCCAGGGACTGTGTGTGAATGGACAGCAAGGAGCAGAAGTGGAGACAGTTTCTTCTCACGCAAGGGCACAGACACGGAGGGACTGTCACCAGGGAGAGAGGACAGAACAGGGACGTGCTCCCCACCAGAGCCACCAACAGCAGCCGTATTTTCCTACCTCTGGGTTCCCCCTGCCTCTGATCTCTCCAACTTTGCCTCCAGATGCCTCATCGCTACTCCAGTGCCACACACCCAACAGCGGTCACCCCACCTGGGGGTAGCACCACTGTCCCTCTCTCCCAAACCGGAAGCCCAGGAGCCACTGGCTGCATGAGCTCTGACCACCCCCACCCCTTAAGCGTCTGCCATTTCTGGCTGCTCTCCTCCCCCTGCCCTTCCCGGACCCCATCCATTCTTCTCTTGTCTAAACTAACCTCACATCTGGACATAACTTCACTTCAGAGACTCTCCTGCCCCAAACATGCATCACACTTCCAATCCAGGAAACATCACACAAACCCGGACTGAGGGATACTCTGCAAAAGCACTCGTCTGGACGCCTCACAAACGTGGGTCCGAGGACAAGGACGGGCTGAGGAACCCTCCTAGCTTGAGGGAGACTAAAGGAAGAGGACAGTGGCCAGAATCTGGGGCTCGATCCTGGATCGAGGGAAAAAACTGCTAGAAAAGACGTCGGCAGCCGTGTAGCTCAGCTGGCTGGAGCACCGCTCCCATAGGCCAAGGTTGTGGTTCGACCCCCAGGCGGGGCACATACAAGGATCAACCAAGGAGAGCGGAAATAAGTGGAATGACAAATCAATCTCTCTCTCTTTGTGCCCCTTCCACTCTCTAAAATTGATAAATCATTTTTTTAAACTATACCAAAAAAAAAAAAAAGACATCATTAGGGCACCTGATGAAGTTTGCACGGTCAGACACTAGTATTACATCGATACTAAATTTCCTGAAATTGATCATTAAACTACAATTCTGTGGGCAAATGTCCTTGTTTTTAGGAGACACACTAAATATTAGGAATAATATTTAGATGTAAAGGGCCTCACATCTGTAATTTACTCTCAAGTAGTTCAGGACAAATATATACATATACGCATACATATATAGTAACACACATTCATATGTAGGTGTATGTATGTGTGAAGAAAGAGGAAACAAATGTTTAACAGTTAGTGAATCCGGATAAGGTTGTACAGTAGTTCTAGCAAGTCTTCTGTAAATTTGAAACCTTTTCAAAATAAAAACAAAATAACACACTTCACTTGCACATTCACTGCTGAGACCGACATGGTCTGAGCCCCACACAGGGCACCCCCCCGCCGGGCCTCGCCTGGTGCCCACAGCCACACCCATCCTGTCTGGGTGGGCGCAGTGGCTCTCGCTGAGAGCGGCCCTCACACGGCGCCCGCTCTGCGCCTCACTGCGTGCTCCACGTATGGCGACCGTTCTGACCTCACATCAAGCCTGAGTAACTCCATCACAGAGGAGGAAGCTGAGCCCCAGAGATGTCACAGGAAGTGGCCAAAGCCACAGTTAGTGACAGAGCAGGATCCCCACCTAGGCTTCGGCTTCAGCATCTGCCCACAGTCCACCTCACCACACACCTGCCATGACTGAGTGACGTGGGGTTTTGTAGCCCCACTGTGCACACACTACTCCCTCTAGCTGCTCCCACTAGGGAGGGATCCTTCCTCCAACTCAGGTGCCACCTCCTCCAGGAAGCCCGCACAGACCACCCCCCTCCCAGGCAGGCTGCTCCTGCCAGAACCCCCTCTTAACTTGTGCCGACTTCTACTGTTGCCCTCCTCTCATTGCCACTGTGGGAGCTCCCCACCGGAGAGAGCTGCCCGGGTTCATCCCGAACCCCCCAGCACAGGGCCGGCCATACAGTGGGTGTCAGCGAATGTTTGGTAAGTGAAGGTACGAGCGAACACAGAGACGGGCACGTAGACAAAGACCTGGAACAAAGAACATCCCAGCAAAATGTGATCAGAGAGACAGACAGGGAGGGGGCCCGGCCACGCCAAGATCAGGGCATCGTCAGGCCACCCTGAGGACATCCTGAGCCTGGAGGCCGAGTGGACGTGAGAGTCACACATGCTAACCCGGAGGGGCAGGAGTGCATGCAAGAGTTGGCAAGCCCACGAGTGCGTCCGCAGGGGTGCCTGGAGGGCGCCAGGACGCTTGGGGAGACAGGGGTGCCAACCTTACCCTTGAAGTTGGGGTCCAGCTCTATGGTCTGACCTGTCCCTGGGTTCTCACAGACAACTTTCTGGAGGCGGAGCTGGGTGACCTTCATCAGGTCCCCTGTGGACAGGCAGCACTCATTCCCGGAGATCTCGTAGATGGAGCCTGCAGAGACACGGATACAGTTTCCCCATTTGGCAAAGGCCAAGCACCGGGTGGCCCGTGCCCTGCTCGGCCACACCTGTGCACACGTGTTTCTGCCACCAGGAACTCCTTCCCCAGTCTTTCCCTACCTGACAGCTGCTGGCTCAGCTGTGTTTTGTCAGCATAAATGCCACCTTTGGCTTCTTCTAGTGCTGGATGTACCCTTCCGTGGTACACTCTCTGGCCCTCTTCACAGCCCCGTGCCTCCTGAACTCAGCTCATGGGGCAGGGCTGACCCACCTCAGCACCACTGCGGCCAGCATAGGCCCGGCCTCTCCATATGTGTTCAAGTCATGAGTGGGTGCCTGGCTCCCATCCCCCTATCGCTATTATTTAATCAGGCCCAGGGAGGGTCAGTGGCTACCGCAGCTCACACAAAGCCTAACAGCCGCCCCAGTGCTTTCTTCTTTAGATGCATTGTTTTTAAAGGATGCGCAGGCTAGAATGGAGGGCCACTGACAGCTTGTGCCCGCAGGCCGGGTTCTGGGCCCTCGAAGCAGTGTCGGAAACAGGGAAGTGCTTGGTAGAGATCTCTCTCACACACAAGTGTGCAGGCTCCGTGTCCTGCTGACCACCATCGGGAAAGCACAGGTGGCCGAGCCTCAAGGCCACCTGACCCACCCCACCCTAGCCCAACCCAGGGCGTCCCCAGCAGGGCCCTGTGGCAAGGAGGACTGAACTGAGACAGCGTCAGTCCTGTCCACTAAGACGGCGAGGGGGGGGCCATGTTTCGCATGTGCGCAGTGGAGCAATGACGGGTAGGGGTGTTGCAATCCCTCAGGCATGCGCCCTGCAATGTGGTCGACAGCCCACGCTTATCTGAAGGGTAACACCACCCTCCCAGAGCAGCACGGTGGAGTGATATAATCAACACGCCTGTGGAGGTGGCACAAAACAACACGAGTGAGTTAACACGAGGCTGATGCAACACTGCGTCAGACAAGAGTATGAAAGCAAAGGCCTGTGAACGGGCAGCTGAGACGGCTGACAGAAGCTCCATTGCTCCCAGCAACCTTACCCTGGCTGGCTCTGAGGCCGCCGTAGACTCTGCCTTGTAAGGCACTGACCGGCTGTCTCCCAGACCAGACTTGATAGGGACTCTTGGGACTCTCATTCATTATCTCCCAATGCTCTTGCGTGATGTTATTGCTGGTTGCTTCTGGGTGATTATTACTGTTACTAGGTTAGTATGCATTTGGATTGAATCTGCCTTAACAAAAGCTGAGTGAATAGCGTAGTCACTATGTTGCTTTCCAGTGTGCTGGTATTGCCTGCACAGCTGGTGGGAGTATTGGTGGCCTGGCCCCTCCAGTCTGTGACAAAAGCTGGAGTCTGGCTTACAGGAAAGACTGTAGCGTGGACACTCGTAAGGTTCGAGTATCACTTGCCACAACCCTTCTCAATAGCCCTGAGAAAGTGGTGAAAACCCCTCCCCTTATCACCCAGAAAACATACACAGGTTCATAAAACATTCTGACTACAGTTTTGGGGGTGGGGCCCGGGGCTGGTGAGACCAGCAAAGATGCTGTGGTCAGTATTGCATATGGGTCATTGCATTTATGACCCATGACTGCCCTCAAAGGGACAGACATTTTGCTTTCCCAAATGAGGAAACTGAGCCTGGGCGAGGTTGAATGGGTGGCCCAAGGCCAGAGGTAATAAGAGACCTAATTGAGACTTGAGTCCAAGGTGCCTGCCTCCCGAGCTGCAACTCCTAACCCCTTCCAGGTGTCCAGACCAGGCACCTGTGCCATCGGTGTCACGGTCTGTGCCCTCTACACTCACCCCTGCCTGCACACTCGCATCTGCACACTGCACACCCTACGGTCCTTCTCTTACCCTAACTTCCGTCACTTCCCACCAGCCGGCTCAGGCAGAATGATGAAACTCAGATATTAAGACACACAGCAAGCAGCGGGTGTTGGGAAGAGAGCAAACGGAGCACAGGTGCCTGTCGGAAGCCCCCAGAGGTAAAGTAGAATTCGAACCCAGATCCATCAGATTCCCAAATGGACCTGGCCAGACCCAGTGTGTGGTGGCTTGTCCTGTCCCTTCTATGTCCCTCCATATGCCTCAACCTCGATCTAGGACACACTTGGGGCCTCGGAATTCTGGAAGCTGATGTGGCAGTGTGAGGGAACAGAGAGAGGGGACTAGATGGCCAGGGCAGCCACGCATTAATTTGCTCTCTAAGGAAGGAGCTTCCCAGAGCCACCCAGCGTCTTGGTTCCCTCTCTCCTCCTCCTTCCCTGTTCTGTCTCCCTCAGTCCATCCCTCACCATCAGCAGCCTGCGTTTCCCATCTGCTGAGCAGCTATTCTGTCCTCTCCCTGCCACTGCCGGTCAATCCCTGGTCTCTTGCTCCTTCGGGTAGTAACTAGTGACCGAGCCCCTGCTGTGCGAGGCAGGCTGTGGCCAGGGGAGCAGATGTGCGCGGGCACGTACGGAGCAGAGAGCCGGGAAGGCTTCCAGGATGAGGGGCCACTAAGCTGAGAACTGAAGAGCTGATCAGATCAGGTACTGTCCACTGCCCAGCAGAGCACAAAGGTGCGATGGAGGGACCGAAGGAAGCTGGCGTAGATGGGTGTGGAGGGGAGCAGGAGGCTACACAGAGCAGAGGGCTGCCCCGGCACTTAAGAATCAAGCAACAGCTGCAAGTCCTCCGCGCCCAACCGCGGGAGCCGCGCACAGCCGCGCCTCAATCGACGCGCACAGCGGTCGGACCCCGCCGCCGCCGGGTTCCGCGCCCCTGGGAGTCGGAGCCCATTACGTCCCAGGTTGCGCGCAGCCCCGATTCGCACAGCAGGGGCAGCGCGGGGATTCCGAGCTGGGGCGCACTTTCCCGGGCTTCCCACGCGCCGCAGCGCCCCTGCCCACACGCCGGGGAGGCCCTGGCCGCCGGGGCGCTGCGGGTCCGGCGGTCGCCGCCGCCCACTCACCCTGGAAGTAGACGCCCGAGCAGACCCGCAGCACTCGCGGGAGAGAGGCGGGATCCAGGGCGCAAACAAAGTCCTGCAGCGGCACGGGCTCCATGGTCCGCGAGGCTCGCCGGCCGTGGACGCAGTGGCCGGGCGGCCGCGCTCCCGCCGGAGCCCCGCCCCGAGGGGAGGAGCCGCTCGCCGCCTGGCGGGGAGGCGGTTTCCCTCTCCCGCCCCAGTTTCCGCGTCTCTAGAATGGGCGGCAGTACCTGCCTGTCGCCTTGGCCGCACGATTTGGGTCTGGAGGCGGAAGGCTCTGCGTGAATGAAAGCAGCCCCCGCGCCTGCAGTCTCCGTGATGGACCCGGTGGTGCAGGGGCCCCTGCGCCCGCTCCTCCCGGTTACAAGGAAACGCGGCCTGCCCGCTGCCGCTCTGGTCTCACGGGAGACGCGCGGCCCGGCCCTTTGGCTGAGCAGGAGGATAGAGGGTCGCGGTCCCGAATCCGCCACTGACTGGGAACTCGTTACCTCAGGACGCTCCTATTCCCCGGACCATTCTAGTGGAAAGGTCTTCTTGGGCTAAAGATGAATCTACTTAAGAAAGAGTCCACCCTCTTGTCCTGACCCCACAAGAAGAGATAAAGCTTTTATATTTCCCTGTCCCTCAGGAGTCAGTCAGATCCACAGAGGTTCAAATCTAAGCTCCTCATCTTACTTGTAATATAACTTAAGGCAAATCACTTTGTTTTTCCGAGTTTTATTTTCCCTATCTTATCTCACTTAGCTGGTTGTGAGGATTAAAAGAGATGGTATAGTCCCCTGGCTAGTGTGGCTCAGTACATTGAGTGCTGGCCTGCGGACCAAAGGGTCTCTGGTTCCATTCCCAGTCAGGGCAAGTGCCTGAGTTGCAGACCAGGTCCCCAGTAGGGGGCGCTCCAAAGGCAACCACACCCTGATGTTTCTTTCCCGCTTTGTCTCTCCATTCCCCTTTCTCTAAAAATAAATAAAATATTTTTAAAAAGTAATAGAAGACTTCTAATTAAAATAACGAATGTTTAAAAGAAAAGGAATAAACCCTAAAGATATTTGACAAATAAAAAGAGGACATTCTTTCTCTACCACCCAAATATATTTATTTACTCCTTAAATTTTGTTGTATTTCTTTCCACTCTCTTCTGCCTGTGGGTTTTTTTTTCTTCCAATTTTTGATTGACAGTAAAGTTGCAAAAATAGTAGACATTTCCCATCCAACCCTCAGCCGGTTTCAAATCCCCCCAGTGTCACGGTCTCACACTACCATAGCACATTTGTCGAAACTAAGAGGCCAGCTTTGCTGAATGACTGTTAGCTAAACTGGAGACATTACTTGGCTTTTATCTGTTTTTCCGCTGATGACCTTTTCCTTTTCCAGAACCTTACCCAGGATCCCAGCTGGCGCTTTGTCATCTGTAACACACTCTCAACTTTTCCGTGTTCTTCTCAGGACCTTGACAGTGTTGAGGAGCACTGGTCGGGTGTTTTGCAAAAGAATGTCACTTAATCTTTTTGTGTGTGTTTTTTCTGATGTTTTCCTCATGACCACCCTGGAGTCTTGGATTCGGGGGTGTGCCCCTCTCACCACACGCTCCCAGGGTCACGCACGGCACACCACATGGCTTCTCACTGTGGTATGAACCTTGATCGCTTGGTTAAGGTGGGGTTTCCAGGCTTCTCCACTGGAGAGTCGCTAGTGCCCCCTCTCCGTGTACCCTGTTGTTTGGAAACAAGGCACTAGACCATCCATCACAGGGGGGAGGGGGAGCTAAGCCGCACCTTCTGGGGGGGAGAGCAACCAAATAAATTACCTGGAATTCCTTTGTCAGAAGGATTTCCTCTTTTCCCCACCTATTTATTTATTCAACTATTAATTCATGCTAGCATGAACTCATCTATATTTCTTTTATACTCTTACAATCTAATCCTACATTATTTAATTTGTTGCTCAAATTGTTGCAGCTTTGGGAATCCCTCCCGGCTGGCTCCTGGGTCCCCCTTCTGGGGGCCCTTCCTTCCTTCCTTTAAGGAGCCTGTCCTTACCGTCAGGTGCTACAGGAGGCTCCAGGCTCATCTTGTCTTTTTTCCTGCCCCAGCCCTACATTTCTCCCAGAAGTCCTTGTTCCTTTCAGTGGAGAATGATGTTCAGGAACCACGATTGGGTCACTGAGAGGGCTTCTTGCCACTGGGCAGCCTCTTATTTTTGTTGTCTTTTTCTTCTCTTAAACAGTCAGAGACACGACTGTGCACCCCAGGGCCCGGCCCTCATCTTTGAGGAGAAACTCTTGGGCAATAACACAGAAAATTGGAACTTCCTTTCTCTCACTGGGCCTGTATCTCATGAGAACTTCCGCCAGGTTTCTGGGCACAGAAGCAGACCTACTGGAACTAGGAGGCAAAAGCCTACGGTGGGGGATACAGCAAAACCATTTCCTTGCCATTGCAATTTGCAGTTCTATATTTATGTATGCATTTGCTGTCTTAATGATTGGCTAACTCTCCTCAGCAATTAGAGAGTTGGCTTCTGGGGGGCAGAGATTGGGTGCCAGACTGCTTTGCTCCCCAGTGTATCACACAGAGCCTGGCACATAGTAGATGCTCAATCAATTAGCATTGAGACTCACTGAATAAACAGGTGAAAAATATTTTCCGGGGATAAGTTCCTGAAGTGAAAGTTCTGGGTCAAGTGGTGGGATGGTTTTACAGCCTCTAAGGGTGTATTTGATTGGTACTGAAAGGCTCCTGAGCCTCCGATGAACCTGGTAAGATAAGGGAAGAGCTGAGATGAGCGGAACACAGAGGCTTTGGAGGCCCCAGGCCCAGGAGGAGGGTCTGCTAAGTGCAGGAGCTGGGACAGGGGGGCGTCTCTACATGTCTCCAGAAACATCAACAGATGTGATTCTCTGAGCGTGTACTCCACACAGACCTCACACAACCATTTGCTCACTTAATTCTCCCTACAAGCAGGCAAAACAAATATTATTATTCCCACTTTACAGATGTGGAAACTGAGGCTCAGAAAAGTGAAGGAACTTGCCTGAGATCATGCACTGAGCAATGCAGATGCTAGGATTTTAACCCAGCTCTGCTGGGCTTTTCCTGCAGGCTGGAGAAAGTGGCAATTCTCCCTCTCTTCTCCATGTACAAGATTTCAGCAGACCATGTAACTGGCAGATTTCTGCTCAGTCCAGCTTTGCCTAGAATTGTGGCAGAGGATGAAGAATAAAAAGACAGGCTTTGGAGACAGAGCTGGGCTCAAATCCTGGCTCCTCCACTTCTTAGCTGTGTGATCTTGGGCAAGTCCCTTAACTTCCCTGAGCCTCAGCTCCTCTCTGTACGATGGGCAATGACGGTGATGCTCGACCTCACGTCGTTTCATCATTACTGCCAAGGGCCTCCTGTGCCTCTGACATTTGTCTGAAATTTAAGATGTCATGTGCTTTTACTCTGCTTTCTGCTTTAGGAAAATAAGATTCTGAGTGGGAAACCGTCTTCCTCGCTGTTGCACAACATGCAAATGAAGGAACTGGAATTTGAATTTACCATTGCCCAAGCCCTTTCCACTTCCGCAGACCGGGAGCCCTGGCCTGGTCTCCATGGCTTCCTAAGAGTTGAGCCAGGTATGGGGAGGGAAGCTCCGGCTCACACAGAGGTGGGAAGAGGAGGGTGGAGAGGAGACCCGAGAGGATGCCTGCAGCAAGCCAGAGTTGGCGTCCTCGTTTCGCCCACCAGTCTCTATTAGAGTTTTTGGAATCTGAAGGTGAGTGGTTCGGGGCCTCCTGTGGGCAGCCACCACTAGTCAGAGTAGCAGAATGACTCATGGTGACCAGGGACAGGTGCAGTGCGTCGGCACCACACACTCTTATACGTAGTATCACGTAGCCTGGTACTTTCCAACAACATACCAGGGGGTGGGGTGGCCCTGCAGTAGTTACCTCCCCTTTTCTAGGAGGGGAAGAGGCATAACATTGAAACAACACTGGACGGTGGTTGTTACAGCGACTTGCTGTTCACTTACATGTCCACCAATTTGGCACGTTGGTCCAATGCAGTGAAAAACACACCAGTGGTCAGAAAAGTCAAGACCAAGATGTGGGAGAGATGTGGAGAGTGCCCCCGCTCCAGGGGTGAGTGAGATGGGCCGCGGCTTGAAGCCCTCTGTTTGTGGTCCCCCCATGCACGTCCCTCCCCGTGGCCTGCACGCAGTCTCCCCTGATGGCTGCTCTGAGGTGGCCCTGAGAAATGTGCCTCCTCACACGCCCCACAGCAGTCTATTGTGCAAGGGTACTCGGGTGAGAGGGTGCCGCACTGGAGTGGGTGCGCACCTGCCCGTGGGCCCCGAAGCTGTGCTCCCTCCCCCTCTCCAGAGTTGCCCTCTCCCTGGGGGAGCGAGAGCCCACCTGGTGCCAGAGCCTCCAGCACAGACCTGTGCAGAAAACTCACAGGATGAGACCAGAAACCCTCCCCCCCTGGGAACCATGGGCGCTTGAGAGGCGATCTGTTGTCCTTTCTGTTTCCTAGATTTCTCGTTTCTAAACAGAACAGATCCCTGCCAAGGATCCCTGAGACCGTGAGGAGACAGTTGGGGTAGGGGGGTGGAGGGGGTGGCACCCTCACCTCAAAGATTTTCCCTGAAAGGAAAAAGATATTCAATAGCTTCAAGAAGTTGAGCACGTCTGGTTGTAAAATGTCGAAGGACTGACTTGTGCTCTGGTGAGATGGGAAAGTCAGTGCGCCGCTCTCTGGCATTCTTGACCTTGAGGAGAGGGGGGCAGACAGAGGACCCTTGTGTGCGGAGGAAGATAAGGAGAGGCAGGAGGTGACGAGAGGTGGGAGGAATGAGGAACTGGAAGGAAAAGAAAGCAGAGAAGAGGAAAAGAGGAAGAAGAGAATGAAGAGGGGAGGGAGAGGAGGGCGGTGCATGAGGAGCTTCGGGAGCACGCGGGGTTACCTGGAGGAGCTCCCACAGTCTGGACCCAGGGCTCTGGGAAGGCAGAGAGGGGTCACTATCATAGGCAAGGCTGCTGGGCTGCGGAGGGCTGGCCAGGAGCTGCTCAGGCCTGGGAACAGGGCAGGTCCCGAGAGCAAAGCTAAGGGAGGAGGAGAGCTGGGACACAGAAAGAAAGTGAAACTTTTGACCATG